TTTTTTGTCACCTACACCAAATACAAATGCATACAAATATGTATGTTTGAAACGTATGTATATTTGTAGGATTTTTTTTTTTTTATTTATACACAACTGTTCCCGAGAGTTTTGTGCACTTAATAAATTTGAAAATATTTTCAAACTGATGAGTTACGTGTATCGTTTGAAGAGTGCTTAAATATAAGATTTAGAAAGCAGAAAAATGATGCATCGCAATAGTTAAAATAGAATGTGTATATCTCTTTTTCACAATCAACAGATTTGAAAAAAATGGCCGATGAATTGCATTGTAAGAATTACAATGCAATTCATCGGCCATTGCATGGCGATGCAGTATTATGCATAAACTTCAATTTCTCAATGATCTTTTTTTCTTTTGTTAAATGCAAATTCAAAATGTAAATCAAAGTAAACAACGTAACCGGGTTACGTTGTGTCCTGCGAGTCTCTCTCTTTTACACAAGTTTAACCGACCTCGATCTTAGAAAATCTTACAAATAACGGAGTAAGTTGCCTGCAAGCAAGAACGAATGACAGAAAAAAACAAAATAATCTGCACATTTATGCAACAAATATCGTACACTTGATTGTGACACGTCAAAAGTATTGGGTCGTATTGTCAGAGCAAATGGAATTCACGCAAAAAAAATTCACGGGAAAGCGACAAACATGAGAGATGATTTATCTTTGATTTATAATTGACATAGCTGCATTTAAAAAATTAATACAAATAGACTTCTTATATTAAAGTTATCCTGTATAAATGTAATTTAAAAAGATAGTTAAAACGATAATGCGGAAGGGTCTTGATTTAATCGGATATTTAATCCAGAAGAAGTTTTCCCACAAGAGCTTTAGATACATGGTATACGAATGTATTCATGTTTCTCATCTACTGCATCCATATTGGGTTAGTAGGACCGACATTTTTACGGCTCATCGTGTTAAATTCCACTGATTCGAACGGGCAATTTTTCTAACACTTTTGTTGCATTCCATTTGCGATTTGACTGCACAGAAACTTCACGCATGAAGGCGTACAACTGTTTGTAAGAACTCGCAGTTTTTTTTACACAACACCTAGTGGCGATGATAGAGGTCGCAATAATGAATTAGAAAGGACGTTGATAAGCGAGTGGCCGCAACGAGGACGTCGTTATACGAGTTGCGGTGTTATCCTTATTAACAATCACGAAATAATAAATTGTATCTTGCCCACTGTTCTCTATAATTGCAAGTCGCGCAAATGTAGAACTCATTCATTGCGCTTACATTCCGCTGTTAAATCTATAGTGTCAAATTTAATCTTAGTTAAGTCGCCACTGCTTCTACTTAATAAATAGTTGTTTTTAACTAAAACAGTGGAGTTAAATAATTTAAAACAGTTCAAATATTTAACCCAAATCTGGGTTAAATTCCATTGTTTTATTTAAAAATAACGGTATTGTTTTAGTTAAAAATATTTATTAAATAGAAGCAGTGGCGGCTTAAGTAAGGTTAAATTTGACACTATAGATTTAATAGTGTAAAAGCGTTTTTGACGTACTTGTACGGCACTAAAAAAAAAAAAAGAATTGCACTGAGATGAAAGAGAAAAAGAAAAAAATTAGAATAAAATGGAATAAATTTTGTTTATTTTTGGCTTAGTTTTTGAGAAAATTGGGTTTGAAAATCTGCTGCGTACGCATACGCTGCTGTTGCAATTAATTAAAATTCATCCGCGAGCGACGTATGAGACATATATATCGTGTTTATAAACAACGCTCTACTGTGCCGAACAATTAATTTTTATTCAAATATCACGACGATGAATTACTGCACGAACAAGAGAAATACATCGAAATGATCCGCCTTTTTGGAGTCTATAATAGTAATTTTAAATTTATCTGCTACTGTTCGCTATTACAGAGAGCGATATCCTAATAGGTGTGTTTCCAATTGAAGAACAATTCAAAGAGTGGAGCGTCTTTTAGAACGTCAATCTTTTGCACTGTGGCAATTCTGTAATTAACAGAATAAAATTTTGTTCGTTAAAAATTTTCTTTGTGTTTTTCCTTAAACTCACAATCAGTAGCTTTCAAATGTCGTATTGTGTGTGAGACATTGTTTATAAATACGATACGCGTTATAGAGTAGTTTATCGCTCGATAAACCGTACCTTAGTTGTAACAGCATGCGTATGTAGCGGATTTTCAAACTCAATTTTCTCGAAAAGTAAGCCGAAAATAACCAAATTTTATTCTATATTTTTTTCACATTTTTTTCATAAGGAATCACGCCGTACCCGCTATAGAAATATCTTGATAAAAAATTTTAAAACAGATATTGGAAACGGCATAATATCCACGACAAATGTTTAACCATTTACGTGCTAGGAAATCATAATATTTAAAATAGTCTAGGCTTTTTTAAATGCTCGCGCGCTCGATTATACGTCACGTCTTCTTTGCGACTAGTGAATTAAAATGCGTCTCTCATATCGCATCGCAGGACCGTTAACGTGTGTTGGCACGGCCATCTACTAAATTTATTCTAAAACGCACCTCGGGTTAGTGTGCCACACGGTTTGTGTTGAGCAGCAGGTGTAGCAAGTCGAGGTGTGCTGTTCTGGGAATATCATTTGTGTCTTGTAAAGACAGATAGCTGTTCTCTTATTGTCAGACTAATTAATAAATCATTAATTATCTAAAAAAGAATTCAGCTAAGTGAAGTGACACACACACGATATTCTAAGTCATAATTTTAAATGTCATACCTGATAATTTTGAAATTTTAATGAATTTTACAATTAAGAACCAAAAAGTTTTTTATATTAAGTTAGTTATAATTAGATATATGTATCATTTAATAAATAAATAATCCATCACAGAATTTATCAACATATATTATGAAATATTATACCTATTATGTAATATATTAAAGATGCACTATATTCTATTAAAAAGAAAAGTAAAAGCAATTTCGACACATTTTACATACATGTAATTTCTTCAGTAATCTAATTTATTTAAATGGCTTTAAATAACAATAACTGTCAAATGTTCAATGATGTGTGAGATAGATATTAATATTGCCAATTAATATATTAAACTCGTTCGGTATGCGTATTATTTAATTTTATTGCCATCAGCAGGCTAACATTTTCTTCATTGTAACTATAATAATATGTACTAACTAAGTTACTAAATAAATATAGCTTTCGTCTTTACGAGAGAGAATAATATGACTATGTTTAACTGTGTATGTTACTACATACATTTGTTGCAAATTGTTCACATATTTGTTTAGAAACACGAGCGTTTACAAAATGGTCAAAATGCAGTAATCACTGTCGAAAAGAGTGAAATACGCTGCAAAAAAAAAGATCTTGTGAAAAGATCTTGTAGAAGCTAAGCGACGTTTTATATAGGTAATAGGATAGGATAAAAATTGTTTCCTACTAGAAAACGAAAACGGAATGGCAAAATAATGATAAACGTAACTGTGACAACGCATCTATTAGATGCGCTGAATATTAGACGAGTCATCGTAGCCGGATTCTATCTATAGCGGAGTAGAGTAGACGCAATGACGTATAACGGGACATAAAATATTAGCGACAATACACCAGAAACGACGAGTGAATATCTAAACGATTTTCCTCGATGCTGTATGCAAGATAGGAATGAGTTGAATTCTAGAAAGTTGCATAGTAAAATGTAAAGAAATTTTAAACTCTCTAATTCACACGAGCGATTCTTTGGTAAAATATATTCATTAAAAAGAAATACATACAAAAGCTTGCATATGTATTATATACTGCATTTTAACTGACAGCATTTTATTAAAGGCTTAACATAATGTTTAATATAATGTGCACGTCCGCACCGAAAGTGGATTAATTGAAATTGACCAATTGTTGTTATATATTTCCATCAAAATAGTCTAGCTACATTAATATTCTACCGATTTAGCATGATGCGAGATTATTCAACGTATAGTCGACATACTAAATATCGAAAGCGAGACAGAGAACATGAGAATACCATTGCGGCGGAAGGGAAAGGAAGATATCGCATAACGGGTCTTCTCTTCAGTAGGTCGATACATGCAATAGTTGACACCGATTAGAATGCCATGGAAAATGCACTTGTATGTATGTATGACTGTGACATTTTTCAATAACGTCCGGTGTTATTTTTTTAATGAGTGATCTTTTGTAAATTATAGACAGCAAGAAGATTATTCGGAGAATGAAAAGAGAAAAGGGAATTTTAATACAACTCCTACAAATGTTTATCACGACCACTTTAATCGGAACGCCATTAAATCACATGTTCACACATGAGAAGGTTACTTCAACATACGCGGCGTATTCTGTGCTTTTTACTGACTTATTGATCGGCTTATCGTTGTATCGATGATAAAAGTTAAGCTCACCAATTATCGTTAAGATATGTTATGAACAGATAAATTCACGATAGATTCCATTCTAGCGCGGAATGGAACATATAGAGAATAATTCATCCTTAAAATTCTTTTCGCTTAATTGATTCTGAAAACATTTCAAAATACAATAATTTAAAAGTATAATAATTAAATTCTGAAATAATTACTGCAGATACTTTAAGTTCGTTTTTTTAACATGTTTGAAATCCACTTTATCTTAAAGTCACGGAAACAAGAATAAAAGAGTGGTGTCGCGTGTTTCCGCGGAAGCGCGAAAAGTTTCTCTCTTGTTTTTAACGATGATACCAAGTAGTATCAATGCAGGATGTTCCGCATTGATCCCGCATCTTTAAAGGAGTATACATATACAACACTGCAGGACTACACATATCTATCCTATGATGAAGCAAGCGAACTAATGCACTCGATTAACTATATAGTGCAGTGAGACGCACGAATACTTAACTAACTTGAATAAGAAGCAAGCGAATATTAACAACATGAAAATCTTGTAGGTCTCTCTCTCTCTCACTCTCTCTCTCTCTCTCTCTCTCTCTCTCTCTCTCTCT